GTCAATATGTTCAACTTAATTTGTTTGTTTAAATTAAGCTCAAATAAATTGTTTACAACCACTTAACGTAAAAAAAAATTGAGTAAATCCAAGGAATAATTTTTTATCTTTTTTTTCAGTGCACCAAATAAGTATTTCTTCACCACAAATTTTTAATGTGTCAAAACAAGGAACATATAGCTGACTAGGTGCACTATTTTAATTCAACAAAACTTTTCTTTAAAAAAAAATACATTTAAAAAAGAATTATTGTGATGTATCTAAAATATGCACAGTAATCTGTCCTGGCTAAAAGTTCCAGATCACCCGTTAACTACACTTAAACGAGGAGTAATCTCCTATTAAAGCAATGCTATTTTAAACAAATATAATTAAACCATATTAACAAAAATAACTGTGAGCAAAAAAAAGCAGGTGAAACTTACTGTGTTTGATAATTAAAGGATGTTCACGTGCACACAGTTAATATTGGCCTTTTAATAATCTGTTCAAAGAATAATTCAAATGAAAGCAGTGACCGCTGCTGCTTACGAAACAATGTGTGTTTTTTTTATCTTGAGCTCTTGAAAGCAGCAGGACTGTCTGTGGGTGAACGATCATCGCTCTTTGTCCAGTCTATTTCAAATGGAACCGATTGCACCAGTTGCTTTGCGTAAGTAAACGGGAGCGTGCGCACTTTTTAACATTTGCGAGCAAAACAGCAAAAAAGAAGGTAAATACCGAACGAGAGGATGATTACTCGCGCCCATAGGTGATGTGATGCGCGCGAGTGATCATCCTCTCGTTCGATATTTACCTTCTTTTTTGCTGTTTTGCTCGCGCGAACATAGTTATTTTTGTCAGTCGTGCTGCTTCTTGATTCTAAGATCACATTTGCCCGAATATTCGGCCATGCTTATTGTCGTACCCTAGAGATTTCCAACCAGCCAAAGTGGCCAGTGTAGGGGTCTGTCTAACCCACCAGAGCTGAAATCTACCCGCATTTGGTGGGTTGGCTGGTGTTAATGTAAAGCCGGGGCGAAGCAGTGGCGCAGTAGGTAGTGCTGTCGCCTCACAGCAAGAAGGTCGCTGGTTCGAGCCACGGCTCAGTTGCATTTCTGTGTGGAGTTTGCATGTTCTCCATGCGTTTGCATGGGTTTCCTCCGGTTGCGCCGGTTTCCCCCACAGTCCAAAGACATGCGGTACAGGTGAATTGGGTAGGCTAAATTGTCCATAGTGTGTATAAATATTAGTATGTGTATAAAGTATGTATGTTTCATTCATTCGTTCATTTTCTTGTCGGCTTAGTCCCTTTATTAATCCAGGGTCGCCGGAATGTACCGCGGAATGAACCGCCATCTTATCCAGCATGTTTTTACACAG